CAACTCAATGAAAAACTAAGCAAAGGATCTGAGTAGATATGACTCCAAAGAAGAAATACACATGGCCAGTAAGTATATGAAAAGATGCTCAACATCATTAGCCATTAGGGAAATGCAAATCAAACAAACCACTGAGATTAACACTTTACTACTCACTTGGATGGTCATTAAAAAAACAAACAAAACCCTAACAAATGTTGGTGAGGATAAGAGAAATTGGAAACCTCATATATTGCTAGTGAAAATATAAAATGGTAAAGCCACTCTGGGAAACACCGACAGTTCCTCAAAAAGTTTAATGTAGAATTATCATATGACCCACCAATTCCACTTATGGGTCTATATCCAAAATTGGAAACAGGTGGGAGATGGCGGCGTAGGAGGACGCTGGGCTCACCGTGCGTCCTGCTGATCGCTTAGATTCCACCTACACCTGCCTAAATAACCCAGGAGACTAGCAGAACAGGGTCTCCGGAGCCAAGCGCAGACGAGAGGCCCACGGAAGAGGGTAGGAAGGGCGGAGAGGCTGTGCACGCTCCACGGACTGGCGGGAGGGAGTCGGGGCAGAGGGGCGGCCCGCCGGGCAAGCAGAGCCCCGAGTCTGGCTTGCAAAAGCGGAGGGGCCGGACGGAGTGTGTTCCGACAGCAAGCGGGACTTGACATCTGGAAGGTTATAAGCTAACAGCTCTGCTCGGAGAACAGGAGGGCTGGAGGACAACGGGAGGGAGAGTTGTTGAGCCCCGGACGACAGAGCTCAGCTTGTTGGGGAACAAAGGCGCTCGCCGGCGCCATCTCCCTCGCCCATCCCCCAGCCAAAATCCCAGAGGGAACTAGTTCCTGCCAGGGAACTTGCTTGCACCCCGCAAACACCGAACGCTGTGCTTCTGCGGATCCATCCCTCCAGTGGGTCTGACTCCCTCCCGGTGCCCCAGGGCCCCTCCCGAAGCGGATCACCTAAGGAAAAGTGAGCTGAGCCTGCCCCTCCCACCCCTGTGTACCTTGCCGATCCACCCTAGCTAATACGCCAGATCGCCAGCACCACAAGCCTGGCAGTGTGCAAGTAGCCCAGATGGGCCACGCCACTCCACAGTGAATCCTGCCCCGATGAGAGGGGAAGAGAAGGCACACACCAGTCTGACTGTGGCCCCAGCGGTGGGCTGGGGGCAGACATCAGGTCTGACTGCGGCCC